AGTTCCCTATGGTGGAGAGCATCGTACGTAAGAAGGCAAACCAGATAGCACAAAGATTGCATCATAATGACTTCAAGGCTTCCGAAGGTTGGTTGCGCTCTTGGTAAGACAGGTATGGTATTCAATCGTACAAAATAAGAAACAAGCAACTCATATGCATTAATTTATGGGTCTGTGGAGAAANAGCGGGGTTACCGCAGTTGATACAAGGATATGCTGACTGTGATATTTTCAATGTAGATGAAACAGCTTTGTATTACAGGCAGCTCACAGAAAGAACATTGAGTCTGGAAGGAAAGACAGTTTCTGGGTCCAAGAAATCCAAAGAGACAGTCGTACTGATCAACGCTTTCATGAAAGCAGGGTTCAAATCCATATTGATTTAGCCGATGATGCAGCCACCAGAGGATAAATGAGATCTGATCGAGGACTTTACACATTGTCTATTGATGACCGCCTTTTTGAAGAAGAAATAGCCTGTATGGAATATGATGAGGAAGAAGTGGGTTATTTAAAATTTTTGTATCTTGTCTCTTTTTAGTCATTAGATGAATTAGTTTTGCATCAAGCTAAGCATCGCAAAGATGACGAATGTGACGCAGCGAATGCGCCGGAAGTTATCTCAATCCGAGAGGCGCAGAAGTTATTGGATCCATTGAAGCTCTTTCCCTTGGCTAATGCTCGGTGTCCGGGTCGATTATAGGAGTGTACCATTGATTTAAACAGCGCGTTTGTTGATTTCCAACGGAGAGCCAAGCTTAGACACAACGATTTGTTTTTGCTAAAAATACATGTTTCTAATCTGCGAAGTTTTTTTTGCTATTCTGTGGGACACTAACCTGAAATGTGAGGCACTCGAATGTGGTCATTTTTTCTACAGTGGTCACCAAAGCCGCGGTCATTCGGTCCATCGATGGGCCCTGTAGCATTAACGGGTGAACGATATTCGCGATTGACTGGTAAGCGGGTGAGTGGAGAGATATCCGATCCGAACGATCGATAAACACCGTCGCGCGGACGCGTCTGTGTGAATGAATGAACGATACTCTCACTTGGCCTAGAGCACCGATTAAATTAGACAGGTCACCTGCCAAAGGTCATCGTAACCCGGGTCTAAGGAGAGTTTGTGAGATGCACTTTTAGCTTATGAATCTCTTGTGGTGATTCTCTGCCAACACTTAGACAGCATTGGATTCGGAATCTGTCCTTCTCCTGTGTCGACCCGAAAATCACACGACCGATCGGGTTCATTTATCGATCGGTCGAATGGTTCAGCCGCAACAAGGGCCCTGGTGCTTGCCCAGATAATCCGAGCGAGAAACCACACCACACAACAGAAGCGAACGAATAAATGTCTACAGAGGTTAATGGTACACATTTTTCAATAGAAAATCATGAATAGATTGCACAACGAACAATCAGTATGAATATGGGAAAGAAGTCCATGTTCTGATTATACTTCGTAACAGATATTTCACTCGTTTTAGATGTCATTTCCTGCTCAGTTTATTCGAACTGGTTCATCTTTATTTTCCTCGAATGGGTTAACAATGATGTGATTATTATAGATAAAACAGTTGTACACTATGGTGGAAGTCATATAATCAATTCTGTGGTTAGCCTAACGTTACAACAGAATGGAGGAATATGTGGAATTAATATGGGATAATTGGGTCAGAAAACGTTCCCCTGAAGTAAGGTTGGTAGATTCGGGATAACTAGACACAGAATTGAAAAGGGCTAAATGCCGGTTGCAATGTACCGGCCGAGGGCGTCATAAAATATTCAAATTTCTGCGATATATACAGGCTACGCAGGACGGTAGATATAAACTTCGTTATAAATAGTTTATAATCGTAACTATTGTGAACAACTAACGGGATTAACCTACTTTTCATCGATCCGGTTTATTTTGTCGCAAAACTGTCAACCGATTTTTATACTACTTACTAGGACCTACTACTGGTGACCCTGCTATGTCGCAGTTCCTGATATTTAGCCACTTTTTCGAATTCCCGAGGGGTGCGACGTAGTAGGAGATTGACTATATACATATATAATACTTAAGTTAGGTGATCGTGAAAGGATCGAAGTCTCGAAATTCAGCCTAGTAGGTGATGATGATAGATAGTTGAAACGTTTGACCGCAAGTGACTAGCCCTCATTTCGAAGCAGTTAACGACCACGAGCGGAAAATCAGCTCTACCTATGAAGAAGTTTGGAATCATAGTCCATAAGTAAGTAAGCAGCTTTTCGATTAACCGTTACAGTCGAGTGTAGGACATCGCAGCGGTGCCACTGTTTAGTATCCGGCTACATTACCTACGTCATGATGCTTTCTATGGACTTCGGTGCGTTTTTTAGTTGGATGTCGATTAGGAGAAAACCTAACATCCTCGGGAGCACCCGATGACCGTCCGTGAAAAACGACATTTCCACATTTAGTTACATACTAGAGAATGACGCGAAAATTTGGTTGAAGTAATACTAGGAACTGGAGTTTGGTAATGACAATGAGAGACACAAGCTTTCGACACCAGTGGTTTAAAAAAGCACTAAATAGAAAAGGCTGTTTACGGAGCTGGGTGACAATAAATGCCAACCACTGATTGCGATGGCATTCAAACACAGGCCGACAAGTATCCACGGAGGTGAATTAGACCTTTTGGTAACGAGCGCACTTCAATCAACAAATTCCCGCGACGACACCGTTGTACTTTGTCGGAAAACGCGATTATGCAAAGCGCTTTAAATTGCTTCAGTGGTGCACAACCCCTCAAATATGAAAACCACTATAGCAGCTTGAAAGCCCCTCAGCAGAAATCAATAAATAATAAAAGCATATTGAGTTCTTTCGGGCAAAACCAAATGTTCAATGAATGCCAACAATCGGACACAAAGCCATTTTGCTCAATCACAAAGATGGATACGATGCACAGGGGGGTCACTCAATGATGCACACCTTGTACGAAAGGAAATTATGACACGAAAGCTGTTTAGGTATGGGTGGCGAAATGGATGTGACAGTCGAATGGTACCGCTCAATCTGAGTCACTCGTTTCTGACGAACTAGAAGATGCTGTTTTCTTTGCCTCGACTTCAGCCTTCTTCGGTTTTTCGCTGGTCTCTGAACTATCGCTATCACTATCGTCACTAGACTCTGGATTTTTCTTTGCATCCGCATCACTTGCAGCGGACGACTTTCGGCTGCTACTACCACTAGAGTCCTTTTTATCTTTCGCAGTTTCCGACTTTCCAGCTTCACCTTTTTTAGCTTCAGTCGTTTTAGCTGGCTCCGTAGAACTGTCTGAATCTGACTCACTACTGTCAGAAGAAACCGATTTTTTCGAATCAGTGGGCTTTTTAGAGTCGACCTTTTCATCCGACTCTTTGGTTGATTCTTCTTCCGAACTGGTCTCATCCTCACTAGACTCATCTTTGGTCTTTTTAGCATCCGTTTCGTCGGTATTCTTTTCGGTCTCTTTAGCACCTACGTTTTCTGCTTTCTTTTCTGTTTTTTCAGCTTCCACCGCCGTCTCCTTTTTAGCTTTGATTTTTTCCTCTTTCAGTTCGGTAGATGACTCGTTCTCTGATTTCTTCTCATCGTCAGATTCTACCTCCGACTCCGATGTTTTCTCATCTTTTTTCGCTTCTGTCTTTTTCTTGTCCTCGCTCTTTGCTTTATCTTTCTTATCGTCATCCTTATCTTTCTTTTCCTCTTCTTCGGATTCAGTTCCTGATGCAGACTCTTTCTCGGTCTTTCCCTTTTTTTCATTTGCCTCATCCTTATCATCCCCGTCATCTTCCTCCTTTGTGCTCTTTTCTTTACCATCCTTTTTCTTTTTGTCTTTCTTTGTCTTTGTTTTAGTCTTCTTCTCCTTCTTTGGTTTTTCTTCATCCTCTTTTTTCTCACCATCTTCTTCCTCGTCACTTGATCCCCCTTGTTCCTCCTCGTTATTATCACTCTCGGATTCTTCTGACGTCTACGATGAAAAAGGAGCACAAGAAAGACAAGCATGAGGCAAAACCTATAAAGACATTCAACCACAAGGGAAAATACACCCTATGTTTCAGTAACTCACTTTTTCATCGCTGGATTCATCGTCCGACTTCTCCTGAAAACGGTCACTGAATGTTTTAGTGTTTTATCTTAAGGAGCGCATGCAATTCACGTCAGCAACAGGCTCCACAAGGTGGAAAAGAACTGCATTCCAACGGAACATGCGGCATGCAACTCAGATGCACAGAGCATTCGCAGAAGAATGAAGAGTACCTCTTCAGAAGATTCTCCAGTTAGCAGCGCCATAAACGATTTCTGAAAAGTATAGATCAGTCGCACAACAAAAATCGCCTTACTGGCTTCTCACCAGGAAGCTTAAGAAAAGTTTCCAACTCCTCTAGCTCAAGTGCGTCATAAAATTCGTCGTACCCCTGACATGAAAAGGATTGATTAATAAATATAAACGCTTACTCCTAGATATTCATCATCATAAAAGATATGGGGAGGTAATAAGGGTTTCTCTTGTTTTTTAATTTCTTCAAAAATACTATTTTTTGTATCCTCGTTGATTGCATCAGAAAGGTCTATCGGCTCAAATTCGATTTTTCTTGCTGCCAAGAGATTTAGAACATCCGTTTGTTGTTTTTTAACCTGAACGCTGGGGACTTCGGAAATTATCGTGCTTACCTTGTTGTTCCCGGAAATACTGCTGAAGTACACTCTTACAACCATGGTGTGCAATTTAGATGTTCAGAAGGACCTAAGGAAAACAACCAGGAAATGAAAACTCATGGATCGGATTGGAGGATGTTAGTGGATAACACAAAACAAAGTCGTGCGAACTTATCCAGAAGTGTCGGTTAAAATACTGAGTGTAATTTCATAATCCTAGCCACGAAGTCCGAACAGTTTAGGGCGAACGTTGAATTGGTTCACGGCTGAATTGTTCACCGCCGGACATCAGAACTCACCACTCAACCATCACCATCCAACTTTGGTGGTAAGTAGCTTTGCTGTCATTCGACTCGCTGCCAAGCCTAACGGCGGGGCCTTATGTGGTTCACCACTCCAAGTCCCAGGGTCTCAAGTTGTCTAATTTCATCAATGAACAGCGAGTCTCCATGCTTATGGGGTTTACCGAGTCTGCTGTTCATCACACAAACATGTGATAAAAATAAAAGTACGCATCGAAGCTAATAATCAACCCTGATTGCAATTCGAATAATGAAGCTTCATAAAAACGTTCGAGTTGGGTTTCGATGGTGCAATCCGATCCCTGAATAACAAGTTAAGAACCCGAAAGCCGCCACAGGACTTCGGTGCAATGTCGTACCCATATATTTCACAAGCCTAGGCTCAGACTATGGTAAACAAATCGTGGTAAAATTATCTCTACAACAAAGAAAACGCTCCGTGATTTGCCTGTGGCTAATCACATCAAAGTAGGTGCTTTTTCTTGGGGATTCATAATCGGAGCCTTCCGCGAGCCAAAGTTTGACCCGCAAGACAGCGGGACGGTATGTGAAATCCGGAATTCATTGAAGGCCGATGTCTAGGCCATCGGATCACACCTTTTGGAAGTGGGCTAAATTCCAAGGTGCAAGTACATCTCAACATCCAATTAGGCCGACAGCCACAGCCACAACCAAGTGTCCGTGGTTCGTACAGCTCTTCTTGGTTGGTTTGAAATCAGGGTTTTCAACCAATTAACCTTGATGAACTGTCACCTGTTCACTGACCCGGTTGAAACACCGGTTGGTTTTCTGATGTATCGCTAAGGTGGGGAAACACCTCGTCATACAAAGGCAGTGAGAAGAGCTTCCTTCATTTGAGATGCCTGATCGTATCAGAGCACATGACGACGTGCAAGGGAAGGGGGACCAGTTGCAACCCAAGACACCCACCTGCGACCAGAGACTTTGGGAGCCCGCTCCTACTACCTACACTCTGCTAACTGAAGACGGATCCCGTAGTGTTCAACTTCGCAGTGCAGATTAAGCAACCCTATAAGACTTCTGTTGACACCCACCTAATTCTGATTATAATAGAGGCTAACGACCGTCAGTCTCGTCTGGAAGAATTTACATCAGAACAATATTTGGCTCTTGTGAAGGCGATCCTTAGGATTTAATTTGAAAAATCTGTTGTCTGCATATCATTAGCACTCATTATTCGAGTGAAGATACGTAGAAATGGACTCGTAAAGCTTAACTTCATTAGTGATAACTCAACGAAGCTGACTCGGAAGAGCAGAGCTGTATGCTACCGAGCGCGTCCCCAGGTCGCGGATAGGGGAAC